GTTATTGTATGTGTAAGTTGGATTATGATTAGATATTCTTATATTAGAATAATGGTAATTTACACAAACCTCCCCTATGGTTTGCCATAATTACAGTGACCTCCCCTCCTGTTTGGGAAATTACTTGAACCTCCCCTAATTTTGAAAATATCCTACACGGACCTCCCTTATGTGTGACGGACCGTCAAGTATACTAACGGACATGGCTAATTTACTGAAATGCCCTTAAATTTTTATAGTAAATGACTGAAGTACCCTATATATATATATATATAAAGAGAGAGAAAAAAAAAAAAAAAAAAAAAAAAAAAAAAAAAAAAACAGCCCAAGAATGGCTTATTGGCCTTCACCAGTGGCGGTCTTGAAGAATTTGGCAGTGGATGACTGGGAGACCAGTGTATCAAAAAGGGTTTTGAGGGTTTGTGAGTAAATTCCACTTAGGTCCTGAAATTTTTGGTCTGCACAGCCTCTGTACACCAATTTTGTGTAATCTGAGGAGGACACAAGGATGGTGAAGAAAGTTATAGAGAGAAAGAAGAGAGAGAAGGATTTGGCAGCAGCTGGAGTTGAGCCCATCTAGGGATTTAAATTCTGTTCAAACCATCACCAACTTTTTGAAATGAATTGAAAGGGGTTTTTTTGTGGCTTCTAGAGGTGGATTTTTTTAGAGAGAGAGAGTCATAGACTTTTAGAGAGAGAGTGGGTGTGTGCCGTGTTGTTCTAGAAGGAGATCAATGTAATGTTACTGATTTTTTTTCTATTTTTCCATTTTCTGAAATTTTCTAATTTCTGAGGGTATTTTCGTCTTTTCTAGTTTTACGTGCTGGACATCGTGGGGTATGCTGGATGTGTCCGAGAGTTGGTTAGGGCATTCTATTGAGTTCAGAACTCTTGAAAATGCATCAGTTGCCATTTCGGCATTTTTTCTGTTTTTCGGGCCTAAAGGTCCCGTGTGGGACCCGCTTCCAGAATTATCGCGTACGGGAATTATCGTTGAGTCCATTTGCATTTCATTTAGTTTTATTTATGGTATTTTATGTGATTATTGTATGATTGGTGTGTATATTTATATGTGTGGTGAAAGTTAAAAAGGAGGAAAAAAAATATCTTTTAGTGGTGGGACCCATCCACCACTAACCTTTTTATTTTTGTGGCCATAAGGCCATATTTGGCCTTAATCTCTCTCACTCCCGGCAGCCCTCTTTTCTTTTCTCTTTATTTTTCATTTTTTCCTTCAAAGCTTCAAGCTTTGATTTCGTCTCAACCGTTGAGAGATTTTTAGTACTATTTGCGGCAAAACGGAGAGCTCGGCGAGATCTACGCATTGATATAAGCAATTCATCATTTGGTGTACCCTAGGAATTTCGAACCTAGGGCTTGGATTTGGGGCTTTTTGCATCTTTGAGAGGTATGGGTGTTTAATTCACAATTTTATTGAAATTTTGTGAATTATCTTTGTGTAAATTGTTATCTAGCATGCCTATTTTGTTTTAATCCTTGTAAAATTGTTTAGATGTTGTATGTGGAGTGTTTAACTATGTGTAAATTGATGAGTTAAGATTCGGGCATGCTTATATGGACTAGAATTTATGTTTTCATGTGATTGCCATGTTAGATTATTAGTTAAATTAAAGTATGTATTATTTTGTGGAAATTCTTGTGAAGGTTGTTGGTGGGTTAAGTTGAATTCATTGCATTCATTGCATTCATTGCATAATGATAAGTCTTAGCATGAAGCATCCATGCACTCCATGGGGAAGAAATGGGGGAAATGATGTTTTGAGAAGAATGAAGTGGTGTTTTTGGGAAAAGTAGTGAAAATGAGGTTTTGAAAAAAAAGAAAATGGGGAGTGACATTTCATTCCATGGCATGGCATGTTCATTCATAACTTGGTTTATAGATGTGATTTTGTGAATTATTCTCTCCTGGGCATGGTATGACCTCGCCTTCGTATTTTCTATTCATTATATGGATTCATGGGGTCTCAGGAGGTATGCTTTAGACACTTCCTATTAAGCTTTTAGCTCACCCCATTATTTAACATTTTTCAGGTATCAGAAAAGAGGTAGCGGATGATAATTCTCCACAAGCACGAAAGGTATAGGAGAGGGTTATGAAATATTTTGTATTTAGAGCCATTCTTTTGTAAAGCACTATGACAAAAATGTATTAACTCGTGTAATTTGGCCGTGTAAAGTAACTACGAGTCCCTATTTTGATGTATATATATGACCATGGAATATAGTATGTTATTTCACAATGGGTTTGGGACAGATTTTGATCAGTTTCCAGAGTCCCATTCAAATTTTTTTTTTTTTTTTTTTTTTTTCACAATTGCAGCATTCTAGTAGCTGAAACCCAGTTCGCAAAGCCATTTCAGTTAACCGAAATGCTTGTTTCAGCTGAACAGTTCTTCTAGTAGCCTCATTCATTGTTGAAATCATAACTGGCTGACCGAAACGCCTGTTTCGGTCGACCGGTACAGGAAGGGATTCACTTTGGCCGACCGAACTTCACTTCGGTCGACCGAACTATTGTTATTTGGTTTCCTTTGTTCCTTTCTCTAGTACAATCCATCCTAAGCCTTAGGAATTCGTATTGAGCCTTTGTAAATAAAGCATAGTTATGACCTAAGAATAATGTTTTTGGCACTAGACTCAGAGTGTTGACTTAGGTGACCTCGGGTTCGGGTAAGGACCCGGTTAGCGATTCGAACTGACGGGTTCGGGTCGTTACAAAATTGGTATCAGAGCTTTAGGTTCGAAAATCTAAGGACGACGGGTAGGGTTGACCTAGAAAAGTTGGAATTGAGTTTGACAATGTTGCATGCTTATGTGGTTATTACTTGTTTAAATTGAAAGAATAATTTATTACTATGTGTTTACATGCATGCTAAATGATAACGTGATCATTGTTATTAAGTTTATTATTTAATAAATGTGAAAGCATGCTTATTTGCTAAATGTTTATGTGTAGCTGATTATATGATTAAGTTACCAAATACATGCTTAATTTATTGCATGCTTAATTGTTAACTGTTTACTGTTGAAGCCTTGGCTTACCAAGCTCTTCAACTTCTCCTTCTATGGCTTTAGCAAATTCTCACTCTAAACCTCTCAAATATGAGCTTAAAACAAAGATGACATTTGTGTATAGATAGATATAGAAAGAGAAGGAGAAAGGTTAGAGAGAGAAAAGAGTTGGCCGAAATGGGGGGAAGAAAAGGGCTTGGTCCAGTCTTCATTTTGGCTTAATGGTCCCAATGATGCCACTTATCAAACCTCCAATGGTTCTAACTTTAAGTCAAGTTACCCTTATCCCCTAACTTAATCAATTCATATCATCTAAATCCCCCAAAATAGCTTCCTCAATGTATGCATACATAAATATATATATATATATATATATATATATATATAAGAGTGAAATGCCAGCAATGCCTCTCAACTAAAATGAGAAAATCGAGAGAAATTCCAAGCCCAAAGGTTGTCCCGACTTCGAAAAATTCTAAAAATGATCCCATCAATTCTCATTTGCTTAAAATAATTATAAAAAAAAAAATACATTTCTTAATTCTCAGCTCAAGAAAATGTCTCAAACGGCTCTCGGGGCAGTGTGGCACTCAAAATGAGGCACGAAGATAAATAAAAGAAACAAATTTGGAAAAATCTGGGACATTACATTAGCCATGAAGGTGGACATCAGAAAGGCCTATGATTTTCTTTCTTGGTAGTTTTTGCTACAAGCTTTGGAGGGATATGATTTTAGTGCTCATGGGTTAAATTGGATCTCTACTATCCTTAATTCTACAAGATATTCAATTCTTGTAAATGGATCACCTGCAGGTTTCGTTGCACCTGGTTGTGGACTTAGATAGGGTTTCCCTCTATCACCTTTACTTTTTACATTAGTGACTGAACACATATCTCAACTATTGAATACTGCTGTTCACAATGGAGACATGACTGTTTCATACACTGTCAGTTGAGCACTCTACTTTGAGCGACATTTTTTTAGCTGATGATTTGTTGGTTAAAGCCTCTATTTCTAATGCTACAACTCTTGCTGGTGTGCTTAGACATTTTGAGGAGTCCACTGGGCTGCAAGTTAGTACCCAAAAGAGTATCGTGATTTTCTCCAAGGCATTTAGAAGGAAGACTACAATTTTGGGTGTGCTTCAATGTAAGGAGGAACAACTATCTTTGAAATATTTGGGGATACCTCTGTGCATTATTGGGTTGAAGAGATCTCATTGCAATGACTTAATAGATAGAATCTCAAAGAAAATCATGTGCTGGAATAACAAATTTCTGTGTTGCTGGCAAAGCTGAGTTCCTGAGGACATTGATCACTCCAACTTTGTACCACCGGTGTAATGCTTTCAATATTCCTACTTCTGTTATTAACTATGTCCAAAAGCTGTGTAGGAATTTTCAATGGGGCAGTACAGAACATGTTAAGATTTAAGAAGACTCATTTGTTGAATTGGGATTTTATTACAAGGAAGAAATATGGAGGAGGCTTAGGTATCAGAAGATTGACAATAAAAAAATGCTAGACTGCATGGTACATCCCACATAAGGTCAGAAACCGTGGCTAGACAAATGCTCTTTGAAGTTCTTGATGTTCAAAATGCTTCTTTTCATGAACTACAAGTATAGGACTGTTGTACTCTACTTAAGTTTGTATTGGAAATGGGCTTTTTCATTAATGGAAGGCTTAGTTTCCAGGGTGTGCTCCTGTACTTTATTCTTTCCATCCTAATGCTACAATTCACCAATTAAGAAAATATATATATATATATATATATATATAATCTTATCAATCATTAGATTAAGAAATTTAATTATTAAAAAAAAATTGTTCGGGTTTTCATACATCTCAAAACTTTCTCAATCAGTGGTTAATAACATCTGTACTTTTTGGTATTTGTAACAAGTTCTACTGTCAACATGATCATGAACATCATTATTTTGTTTCGCCCTAACAAAAACACATGTATGCATAAGCTTTATTTTTCACATTGGATCTTATTTGTTGGATTTGTACAGATCGACCATAATAATGAACATGCTAACTTGGTGTTAACTGTGTTACTTGATAAGCAAAGGAAAACTCGGCCCTGCAAAGTTTGCCCTTTTAACGAACCTCCCTTTCATTCTAGGCCTCTTCTCTGCATTCAGTTTCCGAACCTCGTACCTTATCTTCTTCGAAAATAGTCTTGTCCTTCGCTTCTCTCTGTATCTCGAAACTCTGGCTTCTCTTCCTCCATCTAACATTGCAGTGTGAGCACCTATTACTCCTATATCTCCATATGAGTGATGAACTGTTCCACAACCACCCTGAAAAAAATTCACACAAACAACTATCTTAAATTCAGCATATGTAAATATAAAGCAAATGAGAAATTTACTCTCCTTTTTTCAGTAAATAAGAAATTTCCCATATTATTTATCCTTTCCTATTAAGTTTTTATTGTTCCAAAATAATATCTATAGATTCTTGTAATTGCAATTTTTTGAGATCAAGTAGCTATAATGAAGGTTTGACTATAAGAAAGCCACTTTGTGTAAAGTAATATTAAAAGTTGAAATTTTCCTCTGGTCTATCGTTTTTAACACAACGCAAGGTGATCGGATCAAATGACTTTTGGTTAGTCTTATTATTTTGTTCCACTCAAATTGTGGGACATCTGGTTTGAAGTATTGCTAATGAAACAACTATGGGATATACGGTGAATCTCCGTGACAACACACACCAGTTTAACAACTTTTTAGAGAACATACAATTAATACATTATTCCTAGTAAATTATTCTTTCAAATTTAAATAGTTATACTATTAAGTTGTGAGAATTTTCTCTTTCAAATTTAAAAAGAAAAGATAAACAACTAATATGGCACTAAAAAAAAAAAAAAAAAAGGGTGAAACTTATTTAGGGTTGTGAGATTTTCATTAGTTCCCATTAGTATTGACAGGTAACTTTCAAGTGCTCCAAGCACAGACAGTAAGTACCCTAATTTATGGTTCAAAACAATCGATTAGCCTTGTGAAATTGTCTAAGGTTATCTATGCATTCATTGTGGATAGAATAGGCATATGGTGAGTGAAGATAATTTAAGAATGAACGTAAACATACCATGCAGTCAGGCCAACAATCAGTTGGGTCGAGTTCCGGCCGATCGCCTGTGGTCCACGGAGACTTTTGGTTAGCCCAGGCTGTAATGACTCCCTCATAATCCAGCCTCAATAAAATTTTCTTCTTCTTCTTCACATCAATCTCTCTGTACTCTTCCTTGTCCTTCTGCACCACCTTCTCTTCTGCTTCGGCTTCTTTGTCTTCCTCCTCATAGTCGAACCTAAATTCAAACGGCTCTCTCATCGGGTCAGTCTCCATATCCAGATGGTTCCGCATGACAGCTTCCATACCTTCTTCTTCTTCAACTTTCACTTTACCCAAAGAGCCCTCCATTTGATCACTCTCTTTGAAATCTACTAGTCCCAGTCCTTCCATATCAAATGATTCTTCATCAAGACCCTTTCCCAGTAAGCTCTCCACATCGGCTGCAAAATCTGCAAGATCCATGTCTGAGGGAAGAAACTCATTCAAGCTATTGACACCATGGCCACAAGCATTCACCACAGCTTTTGACTCTCCCCCAAAAACATCTCTGGTTGCTTCATTCGAATTCCCTGATCTGGACAGCTCCGCAGCAAAGGGATCGAATATTGGAACCCTATAGAGGAGCTGCTCTTCGTTATCTTCATTTGAATTCTCCTCCGCTCCCATGTCCGGCACAAAAGGAAGTGGGTTTCGAACGGATTCTTCAGCTTTGGGGGTCCGATTGTGCTTTCCATGGCGAGGGGTCCGAGCCTTCTTAGTAAAGCCCGGATGCCACGTTGGTAATAAATTTTCTAAATGAAACTCATCACATGATTTGAATGATGCAATTTTGAGGCGAACCCTTTTGTGTCTTCGAGCCAAAGGGTTTGCGGAGTGCACAGAGGCATCACAAGCTTGGCACAAGAAAGCATCATCGGCCGCACAATACCAGCGAGCGCGCTTTTTAATACAGCTATCGCAAGCCCTAGCGGTCTTGCCACCGACGGCGTTGGCAAGCTTTTTGTCTGATACCATGGAAAAAAATAATGGAATATGAAAGAAAATTAAGCTAAAACAGTTCAGAGGAAATGTTGGGTTTGCTCTTTGTTTATGTAGGGTAGGGACTTGGAGATGGTGGAATTATTGCATATGATAGTGTGACCCCACACACGGCACTTTTACAGTCTATCGAAAAGTTGTAAGGCTCCTCTGGGTTGCACTTTTGGGCGTTTTCCACAGAGAATGATTGTGCTTTTTAGGACCCACAAAGCCTTATGGCCCTTATCTAATTTTTAATTGGGTGAGCTTGAAAAGTTCATCTTAACCTCTGTTTTGTGATTGGTTGCATCTCTATCCTAGGGATTTCTCGTGGGCCCGACTCTAAGGATGAGAACAGGTCATACTAACTAAATTTGAAACAGACCCTTTTGTTGTTTGTCTCCATAGTCTCCACAACAATCAGAGTCTTAAGTTTGAACTTTTGTTTGAGGTCCCCCTACTCTCAGTATCCCTCTTTCTCAATCTCAGTATTACGTGTATATTTAGTGAGATGAAGAGTGCATCCCACTTTTTTTTATGTACTTTCTCTACTTTTAATTCCATGAAATAACAATATTTTTCTTAATTTTTTTCATGAGAATTATATATGTATTAGATATGGGCATTTATATAATGGGTTTAATTCAGTTAAACCTCCCATGGTTTGTTCAATTTTTAATGAGACCCCCACATTTGTAAAAATTTAGTCAGACCCCCTGAAACAACTATTTTGTATTTTAAGATGTATTTGTTTGCTTCTTGTTATCTGTTTTTGCTATTTTTTTCAAATAAAGTGATGCAATGAATATTGACCTATATTGAGTACATTTACCACAGAAAGTATTGTATATTATCACTGCACATGCATATACTACCACAAAGCAAGCATTATCTATTACTAAGAAACCATAAAAATATAACCAGTGTCAACCACAACTTTCAAGTTTCAAACAAACTAAGTCAATATTTAATACAAACCTTGCAACATTGGAATCAAAAGAAACAAAAGTAACATTGCAACATTGGAATCAAAAGTAACAAAATTCTTAAAACCAGCTCACTGTTGTGTGGTGAATAAAACCCAAAGGGCTCCCCAACATAAGCATTATGTGGTTCTTTCCTTCTGTTGCTTTTGCTACCCTCTCTGCAATTAAATGTCAGGATTAGAATACTAGATGTAACAATAAATTAATATGCATAAGGATTAAATATTAGGTAATTTGTTGTTTACCCAAGGTGGAAGATTAACACCGATACACTCCGACTTGGCTGTTTTCCAGCTCTGCTGCCACTCTAGTTTGGTTGTCTTCCAACTCTGTTACCACTCTAAATTGGTTGTGAATAACTTCTCATATCCATATTTAGTTGAGGACTACCACGTATGCCAACTGAAGCACCTACGCTGTCACTCTGAATTGGTTGTGAAGAACTTCTCACCTCCACATTTTCTTGAGAACCACCACATACCCATGCCACTCACATTTGGTTGAAAAGTTCCTATTGCACGTACATTTCTTCCACCTCTTGCACTTACATTTGTTGCATTTACATTTCTTCCACTTCTGCTAGCAGATTAGGACTGGAAAAAATTTAAACAAAGAAAATAAAATAAACTAAAATTAAGTGTAGAATTGAAAATTTGTTATAGTGAACATAAGTAAGGACTGATACATGTTCTTGCAGCTCTCTCTCTCTTGTTGTTACAGCTCTGTTGTTGCAACTCTTTGGCAAGTCCTCCTATTATGACCAGTCATCTGGCAATACTTACATGTTATAACTGATGATCTCTTAGGTACTGCACTTGCAGGGGCAGGTTCACCTTGTTCCATTCTTCTATTTTTTCTTGGTTTACCAAGCAATTTTTTTGGTACAGGAGGGTATAAGTCAATTCATGGACTTTTTGGCCACAACTTCTCATCCACCAAAGGATGAATCATCCCACTGTGGGCAAGTAGATATGTGTCCTTAGTGTAACAAGGATCGCAAAAAAGCTTATAGTCCTGTCTATTCCATGAAATAGCACTAGCTGTATTCTTGCAAGGTAACCCTGATATCTGTCATGCTCTACATGAGCAAGTCCTCAAGTTTAAATTAACCACACTTACTCCCACCACTTCATGAACTTCGTAGTTCTCCCTCCCAACAGGACAAACTCTACATCCTCTTGATTCTTGAATAGATTTGTTTAATTTTTTTAAGGCATTTGGTGTTAATTTTCCCTTCCAAGCTAAAACTTTGTGATTTTAATTCTAATCCACTAAAGCATATTCAAGATTGACTTAGATTTATAATGACCAACCCATTTGTTGAAGGATTCTGTCAAATTGTTTGTAATATGGTCACTCTTTGATGTCTCATTATACCCCACCCTAGACCACATTTCCAAAGGCATGTCTATTAGCTAATCATGAGCTTTTGTAGAAAACCCACTCATGTGATTCATTGCATCATTAAAATCAAGCTGATTGCATGATATAGCAACCTTCCAAAAATATTTTTTCAACAACAAGTCAAGATTATCCTTTCTAAAACTGTTAAACAATTGCTTACAACATATCTTATGGCTTGCCTCGGGAAACAAGTTTAAATTGCAAACTCAGGACCTTGAAATACAAAATAAAATAAACAATACTTGTGAAACAACATAATTAAAAGTAATAATGAACAAGTTAAAGAAATAAATTATACCTTTTGCATATCAGACATAATTGTCCAATGTTTGGCTTATGCATCTGCACCAAGAATATCCTTCAAATTATCTATAAAAATAAAAATAAAATAAAAAATAAAAAAGCTAATGTCTCATTTCCTTCACTTTCTACCACAACATAGGCAATGTGGAATAGACCATTGTTGTCATCCAAGGCCAGACAGTTGACAAAAGCACTCCATCATGTAGGCTTTTTAAAAAAATAGTCATCCAACTCCATAAATGGCCTGCAATCTTTTATAAGCCCAGACCTCAAAACATCAAAAGCAATTAAAATCTTTTTGAATCTATTGACTCCATTAAATTTAGCATCATAATAATCAATTGTGACCAAACTGCTAGGATTTGTCCTCCTAATTTCATTCCTATAGGAGGGCAGCAGACTGTATGACTTCCCATGATTACCCTCAATTACATCCTGTAATACCCATAATTTTTAAAAGGATATAATTGGGATTTCACTATTTATTTTATTACATTTTTAATTAATTATGTGGCTATGTGAATTATGTGTTAATTTGATTTAACTGTTTATGTGATTTAATGGTGTGCATTTAATTATTTGTTTGTTTAAATGATGTGTATTTATTTGTAATTAATTGTTAGGATTAAATGATTTATTTGGGTTATTTCTATTTCTATTTTTATTTAAAAGGATTGGATTTGGATAGTAGTAATAGACCAACCAAATGGGTCACATGGACTACTTAGATAGGAGTCTTGATAGATATGGATAATTACCCATAGATATTAGTTATATTTATATATATGGATACATATGTAAATAAGGATAGTATCACTATTATTATTGTTATTATTAATAATATTATTATTAGTAGTAATAGTAATAGATAGATAGTCAATAATATATTTATATACTAATGTTTATATATATATATATATATATATATATATATATATATATATATATATATATACGTTTATCAGATGTAGTTATATATATGTTTATTTTCCTTAAGATGACAGATTTGGATTAGAAGTAGGATTAGGTTAGAATTGTAAAGACCTATATATATATACATTGTAAGTCTGTAGAAGGGAGTTTTTACATGCATAATTTAAAGGTAGAGAAAGATAGAAAATAGAGAGGAAACGCATAGAGAGAGAAAGAGAGGGATTTGGCCAAGAAAGTTGTAATCACCCACTCTACCACATGGTATGATATTGTCCGCTTTGGGCCTGAGCCTGCACTATTTTGCTCTTGAGTTTTACCCCAAAAGGCCTCAAACTAATTAGAGATAATACCACTACATATAAGCAGTTCACACTTTCCTTGACTAGGCGATGTGGGATTGTGCATCCGTAGCTCGCCCAAAAGCAAAACCGTGTAGGCTTGGGCCCAAAGCGGATAATATCATATCATGTGGTAAAGTAGGTCGTTAAAAATGGTATCAGAGCTTGACCCTGCCGGAAATGTGGCCAATGAAAACGTTAGGCCCCAAAGGGGGGGTGATTGTGGCAACCTTGTAGGCGAGTGTACCGTAGGCGGGTGCGAGGCACTGGCAAGTTACCACACTAGATGAGATACGGATGCACAATCCCACATCGCCTGGGTAAGGAAAAGGTAAAGTGCTTATATGTGGTGGTGTTATCTCCAATTGGTATGAGGCCTTTTGGGGTAAACCCAAGAGCAAATCCTTGTAGGCTCAGGCCCAAAGCGGACAATATCATGATACCATGTGGTAGAATGGGTCGTTACCAAAGTTAGGCCGAACTAAGAAGGAAGAGGCTAGAACTGTGCGTGGAATTAGGACTAGACCAACAGAGGAGGACGATAGCATCCAGACGCTATCGACATTGAGGTTTTAGCCAGAGAATAAAGAAGTCCAAGATTTTTAATTCGAAACCTTAAAGACAAGTTCTTCTTCTAACTTTTCTCCTTTGATCACGTGTTCTATACATGCTTAGGACAACTCCAGGATGATTAATTTGAATTAATAAACCTCTTTGCATACTAAAATCAGACTTAAAACAGAGTATGGTTATATTTATATGGGTTTTCATATAACTTGTATAATTTGATGCATGAATTATGTGTTAAGTTGATGCATATGGAGGGAAAAAAATCAAACCAATCGCAAAGCAACACGTGGCGACAAAAGGCAGCCCGCAAAAAGGCTAAAAGTCCATAATAAGACATAAGCCCAGCAAAGGAAGGCCTACTTAAAACAAAAGCAGAATAAACAGGCCCAATTCTGACAAGGCCCAAACTCCATAACACCCGGAATAATGTCAAATACATGACCTGTAGGCATAAATTACCCACGTTTGGGAATAAAAGCCAAGGAACGGCTCCATGTAAATTCCTAAGCTAAAAAATACTTATAAATGGAGCCTGAACAAAGGTAAAAGGCATGAGACTCTGAATACAATCACTATCTCAAAGATTTACTTGCTCCCTTCTTAATTTTTTCTGTGTGTTTTCCATAGTCGATCACTCTAGGTGTTCGGATGTAAAAAATTGCACCCACTTTGGCGTCGTCTGTGGGAACTTCGATACAAAAGTCCGTTCCCTATCCCTTACATACAGCATCACTCCAAAATGGCAACAGAGCCAGACACTATTCAACCGCAACAGCAGGAGACCATGCAAAAGATACGCAAAGAGATACAAGCACAACTGGACGTTCTGCGACAAGCAAACGAAGCCAGCGCTAAGAAAATCAATATGCTAAGGCAGGCTCAAGAAACCAGCGTGGCATAAATCAACACTCTACGCAGAGAAAACGAAAGACTCCGATGCAACGCTCGGTGGAATGAACATTCAACCGACCCTCGGCCCGAACGTCAAAACGAAGATCCCCCCATGGAGCCAGGCGATGATAATCCACCCCACCAACAGAAGGCTCCACGCCAACAGCCCAATGGAACGCTGGAGGACATCTACGATGCTGCAAGTCAGTCGTGCACCTTGGGGAACTCCAATATTAGGGGGCCTCGAATCACCAAAGGCCATCCATCAGATGACGCGAATTTAGGTAGAAAAGAATTGTGGACCCCAGCAACTGGTCAGCCGCCTTCGGGGAGTGACTTTATCACCAGGCTCCGAAAAGAAATTGATGAACGAATCAAAGGACTGAAGGCCCAAATGCCCGAAGACATGGCGAGAGAATTTACTGCATTAATAATAAAAACCCCTTTCACAGATGAGATAGGACGGGTCGCAAGACCCAAGAAATTCACGATGCCTAAGTTCATCAAATTCAATGGGACTGGAGATCCTCTCCAGCACCTCAACCACTATACTCAGGAAATGACACTAGAGGCTCATAATGATTTATTCATGTGCAAAATATTTCCATCCAGCCTGACAGGGGTGGCCCTAAAGTGGTTAAAGAATCGCCCATGCAAATCGATCCCAAACTTCGAATCACTATACGTCGCGTTCTTGGCCCAATATTGTGGAAATAAAAAATAGAAGAAAACCATTGCTAGTCTCTTTACAATTCGGCAAATGAAGGGAGAAGGCATGCAAACCTTCCTCACCCGATTCAACATGGAGTCTTCGGGCATACCAGATTGCAATCAAGACACAGCCATAGAAGCGTTCAAGATAGTCACGGTGCAAGGCTCACATTTTCGTTCTTCTCTGGTGAAGAAGGCCCCAACTAACATGTCAGAGTTGAATTCACGGGCACAAAACTACATCAGACTTGAAGAAAATAAAATAACTAGGCAGCAGAGAGCGACACTGGTCACAGTAGAGAATCGACCGAAGGAACAATCGAGCACCTCGCCGGCCCATTGGGAACCCCCGACTATTGAGGGACGAGCCCCTAAAAAGAAATCCCGAACAACTAAAAGGGTCACACCGCTCAAAGTAACACCGGCCCGACTGTACCAAGAGACCAAAGCAAGAAACATCTTCCAGATCCCACCACCAATCAGACAGCCAATGGAGCAAAGAGACCAGAATAAACACTGTGCATTCTATAGTGACTTCGGCTACCTAACCAATGATTGTAGGAGCTTGAGAAAACAAGTGGAAGCGTTAATGGCCAAGGGCGAGTTAACCGAATACTTGATTACCCCGGGACAGCAAAGGCAACAAGATCGAGCCCTGGCAATTCTAAAGGCCGCGGTAGAGAGCCATCCTGTTCGGGTAATTAACACAATTCATGGCCGTCCGAAAGAAGACGAGTAATCGGGAAATTCCTAGAGGATCCAGCTCAAACAAGCCTATAAGCTGCGAAGGATTGGGGAAATCAATACCGTCGACTGCAAACCCAATCCAACACAGGTTTCTTTTCATAAAGGGGATCTCAGAAGGGTGCAACACCCGCACGAAAACCCATTAGTAATTAGTCTACTAGTGGCCAAATGTCTGGTCAGACGAGTACTGATTGACCCTAGCAGTAGTGCTAATATTATGACAAAATGGACGTTCGATCAGTTAAAAGTGGCTGCAGACCAGATTCGTCCCACTAAAAGTCCTTTGGTAGGATTCGATGGAAGAAGAGTGGAGCCCATAAGAGTGATCACGCTATCAGTGACTGCTGCTAAAATATCTCTGAAAGAGAACTTCGTGATTGCGGATATTCACCCAACCTACAATTTGCTAATGGGTTGAGGATGGATCCACCGCATGGAAGGAGTCCCATCAACCCTGCACCAAGTCATGAGATGCATAAGCCTGAATGGCCAAGAGGTCATCGATATCTGGGGAGACCAAGTAACAGCAAAGGAGTGCTATCAGACGACGGTTTACCCTTCCGAAAAGGACAAGAAATTGCTGAAATAGCAATTACCGAGCTCTTCCCCTCCAAAAGAGACGGAGGAACCGAAAGAAGAGCATCTTACTGTAGAACCCCTAGAAGCCATGCAGATAGTCGCAGGGGACAAGCGCAAGCTGACCTACATAGCGACTCTCCAGTCAGTTCAGGAGAAGGAGGAACTGGTAGAAATCCTAAGGAAGAACGCAGACATCTTCTCTTGGAATCACTGGGACATGCTGGGAATTGATCCACGGATGGCCTGTCACAGCCTAAATGTGGACCCCAGCCACCATCCGGTGAAACAAAAGCAAAGAAGGTTTGCCCCTGAAAGGAACAAAAACATTGCTAAAGAAATCAATAGACTTTTAGAAAACAGAGTTCATCAGAGAAGTCCAGTTTCCTCAATGGTTGTCAAACGTGGTGGTTGTCCAGAAAAAGAATGGTAAATGGCGAGTATGCATTGACTTCACCAACCTGAACAAAGTGTACCCAAAAGATAGCTTCCCACTCCCCAAGATCGATCAGATGGTAGACGCCACGACCGGATATGAAGAACTGACTTTCCTTGATGCTTACTCGGGCTACAACCAAATCCCAATAAACCTTTCAGACGAAGAAAAGACTTCTTTCATCACCGAACGGGGGACCTATTGCTACAAAGTAATGCCCTTCGGACTAAAAAATGCAAGAGTAACTTATCAAAGGCTGATCAACAAAATGTTCAAAGAGCAGATCGGCCGAACGATCGAAGCTTACATTGATGATATGGTGGTGAAAAGTAAAGTTAAGAAAGATCATCAGCAACAGTTGCAGGATGTGTTTGATACTCTCAGGAAACATAGAATGATGTTAAACCCATCAAAATGTTCGTTCGGAGTGTCCTCGGGACAGTTCCTCGGTCACCTGATGAGCAAAAGGAGAATAGAGGCAATTCCCACTCAGTTGGCAAAATTGCTACAGAGTCAAGAGCCCCGAACCTTGAGGGAAGTCCAAATCCTCACTGGGAGAATAGCGGCTCTTAGCCGCTTTATATCTAGACTATCAGACAAGTGCAAACCATTCTTCGACGCAATCAGAGCCAAAAAATGAGATATCTGGGGGGCAGAGCAGAGAGAAGCTCTTGTGAAAATCAAGGAATACATGACAAGTCCCCCAATTCTATCTACTCCAAAACCCGAAGAGCCATTGTACCTCTACTTAATAGTATCTCAGTCAGCAACCAGCTCAGCCTTAGTAAGAGAAGTGGAAAAAAAACAACACGTGGTCTTTTATTCCAGCAAGGCCATGACCGACGCAGAAAGCCGGTACTTAATGGCAGAAAAAATTATCCTTGCTTTAATCCAAGCTAAAAGGAAACTCCGACACTATTTTGAGGCGCATCGAATAGTAGTTCCCATGATACATCCTGTCAAAGCAATTCTCAGTAAACCAGACTTCTCAGGTCGGATCACTAAATGGGCAATTGAATTAAGCTCCTGTGACATCCGGTACGAATCGCACACCGCCAAAAAAGGGCAAGTGGTTGCGGATTTTCTCTTAGACATTGACCCAGGGGAAGAATAGCAAACCACGGAAGAGCCTTGCTGAGAATTATACGTCGATGGTTTTTTGAGTCAAAACGGAGTCGGCGCAGGAGTAGAGATAAGAACCCCCGAGGGGACCAGAATCCAACAGTCAGTCTGACTAGAGTTCTCGGTCATAAACAATGAAGCTGAATATGAGGCACTGTTGGCAGGGCTAAAATTGGCCAAAGAACTCCAAGTAAAGTACCTCAAAGCCTATAGTGATTCGCAGCTCATCACAAGGCAAGTGACTGGAAAGTACACCACCAGAGAGGGTAGAATGAATGCATACCTAGAAGAAGTTAAAAAAATGATGAAGTATTTTGATACAATCGAATTTCAGCAGATCCCTAGGGAAGAAAACCCGATAGCTGATCCTTTGGCGAATGCAGCATCCCTAGCGGACGAGTCACTCACCAGAGTCGTCCCCATTGATGTCCTAGAAACACCGAGCATCACAAGGGGAGTGCAGGTGTTGGTCATCCCATGGGAACCAAGCTGGATAGATCCAATATTGGCCTACCTTGAGAGAGGAGAACTCCCCAATCCTAAGGAAGTGGCTCGGCAGCTAAGGATGAAAGCTGCCAAATATTCTGTGGTAGGAGGATAGCTCTTCAACGATCACATTCCGGACCCTACCTTAAATGTCTGACCCCAATGGAGTCCCGAGAAGTTCTAAAATAGATACATGAAGGGGAGTGCGGGAATCATTCTGGGGGCAGGTCGTTGGCTCATAAAGCTCTCACTCAAGGTTATTTCTGGCCCTACATGGCGAGGGAAGCAGAAGAATACTCTCGCAGATGCGACAAGTGCTAAAGGTATGCCCCCCTTATCCATCTACCCCCGGAAGAAATACACACCATGAGCAGTCCATGGCCGTTCGCACAATAGGAAATGGACGTGTTAGGACCCCTACCAATGGCAACATCACAGAAAAGGTACGCCTTATTAGCCACTGATTATTTCATTAAATGGGTAGAAGCAGAGGCATATGTGAGTGTGACTAATGTCTAAGTGAGAAATTCGTTTGAAACAACCTGATATGCAGATTCGGAATCCCAAAATCCATCATCATGGACAACGGGCTGAATCTGGATAATCAATACACTCAACGTTTCTTCAACAAGTACGGTATCAACCAGAAAGTGTCAGCTGCATACCACCCCCAATGCAATGGGCAAGCGAAGATAACCAACAGAATAATCTTTGCCTGTATCAAAATGAAACTTGAAGATAAAAAAAGGGAAGTGGTTAGAAGAATTGCCAAATGTCGTATGGGCATACAGAACCACCCCGAGATATCCCACTGGTGAAACCCCTTTCTCTCTAGCTTACGGCACCGAGGCCATAATCCCCAGCAAAGTAGTGGCACCTACCATCCGAAGCTTAGCTTGGAACCAGGAGTTAAATAATCGGCTTCTGGAACACATTCTAGATCTATTAGAAGAAAAAAGGGAAGCCACAGCCATCCGGCTAGCAGCCTACTAGTAGAAGATAGCAAATAGTTATAACAAAAGGGTCAGAAGGAGAAGCTTCAATCTGGGAGATCTGGTGCTCCTGAAATCAGAAAAGTTCGTCAACAAGTTGGAACCTAACTGGGAAGGAGCTTACAGACTTCGACACTTGGATGGCACCGAAATGACCAAGCCGAGGAATGCAATGAACCTGAAAAGGTACTTTCAGTAAAGTAAATCGTACAGTGTTTTCCAGTACTCTACTTTTTTGATAAAATAAAGCTACTGACAGCCTCTTTTCAAATGTCCCACATCGGATAAAAACAAAACTTCTGACTATTATTTAAAGTAGAATAACAAGAGATCTAAACGGTAAAGTGGACCCCCTGATGGTAGGCAACCCATAACGGGACCTACTATCAGGGTATCCACTTCACACTTTTTATCTTTTATCTTACCACAAAAAAAGTCTTATCACCTATGAGAAACGATGTCCCACATCGCTCAAAAAGTGGAATCTAACCCTTTTTCTTATAAGGATCCACACTTAAGTGCCTATTAGTGTGTGGGACCCATTGACAATGGGACCCCACTTGCGACACTAAAGTGCCCCATTGTCAGAGGTCTCCATACACTCCCCCCACATATTTTCCCCTTTTTAGAAAGTACGGTCCCATATCGACAAAAAAAGAAAAGAATCCCTTATTATTATAATATAACCTGCCGGGTATACAATCAGCGGGTAAGGGCCCTAAATTACGAGACCCATGGATAGTCTCAGCTTATTATCAGAAGGGGTCCGTAATGTAGGGTCTTCCCCGCTTTCTTTTGGGATATGTCATTTCTTTTCAAATCCCTATCTCACTTTAAACAGAAAATGGGTTCTCTATAAAACATTAATCGTTTAAATTCTAAACGTCAGCAAGGGAACGCCCACACAAAGAAGGCCCAATAAAAAGGGGTTCAGCACGAGGACTTCCCACTCAAGACAGACTTACGAATAGGCTTGACTGGATAAACCGCTCAAGTCCAAAAAAGCCATATGGCCCCAAGAGCCGATCACAAAATAGGCGAAGGCCTCAAGAGCATAACGCCCGAACGGGCTTTACCGGATAAACCGCTCAAGTCCAAAAGCCGAACGGCACCAAGAGCCGATCGTAAAATAGGCGAAGGCCCCAAGAGCCTAACGCCCAAACGGGCTTAACCGGATAAACCGATCAAGTGCAAAAAAGCCAAACGGCCCTAAGAGCCGATCGCAAAATTTGCGAAGGCCCCAAGAGCCTAACGCCCGAACGGGCTTAACCGGATAAACCGCTCAAGTGCAAAAAAGCCAAACAGCCCCAAAAGCCGATCGCAAAATAGGCGAAGGCCCCAAGAACCTAACGCCCGAACGGGCTTGACCGGATAAACCGTTCAAGTCCAAAAAAGCCAGGCGGCCCCAAGAGCCGATCGCAAAATAGGCGAAGGCCCCAAGAGCCTAACGCCCGAACGGGCTTGACTAGATAAACCGCTCAAGTTCAAAAAAGTCGACGGCTATAAGAGCCGATCGCAAAATTTGCAAAGGCCCCAAGAGCCTAACGCCCGAACGGGCTTGACTGGATAAACCACTCAAGTCCAAAAAAGCCGAATGGCCCCAAGAGCCAATCGTAAAATATGCAAAGGCCCCAAGAGCCTAATGCCCGAATGGGCTTGACCAGATAAACCACTCAAGTCCAAAAAAGCCGAACGGCCCCAAGAGCCAATCACAAAATAGGCGAAGGCCCCAAGAGCCTAATGCCCGAACGGGCTTGACCCGATAAACCACTCAAGTCCAAAAAAGCCAGACGGCCCCAAGAGCCG